TTCTGGTGGGCAGTGTCCATAGCCCTGGACATCTCTGTGTTCTGGTGGCTATGTGAGTTCAAGCCCTATTCAACTTTGGGAAAGTGCTTCACCTAAAAATGCCCAGTTGCAGACAGATAACAGAATGGGAGTGGACAATTCAAAATATCTATGCTACAGAGAGGGGAGGGAAGGCAGATTTATCCTGGAGATACATGAGCTATCCTAGTACACATTCTCTCTCAACCATTGGGTTTCCCAAGGGAAGGCAAAAAATAACTCTGGGCAGAGTTTGAAAGGTCCTCAGCAAAGACATGTGGATAACACGAAAATTTCACTAAGATATTTGGGAGACAATTCCTCAGTACCTTTCAGTGTCTGCAGCACAGCAGATGTGGCCCCAAAAAGGGCAGAGACACAAAATGCTGGGTGTTGTGTTCCATGCCAAGGGAGACTTCAATCTTATTTGCATGATATGACATAAACACAGAGGAAAAGAGGATTGCCACTTGTGCGAATGAAGGCAGTAACACTGAGATTGCTATTCTCAGTGAAAGAAAATAAACGCTGTATCTGATCTTACACAAGAAATTGGATGGCAGCAGTGCTTTTGGTTTCTGTACTGAGGCATGCCAAGACACTGAAGTAGGCACAGTGAAGATAAATGCAGTATACACCGGCCGAGTATACACAGGCTGGGGAAACGCAAGGTCTGCAAAGACTAATTCAAGAGAACCTGCAATAGCCCATGATGGAGCTTCTCAGTTGTTCATGGGCACCTACCTGTGGTGCAGGGAGCGCTGTACTCCTGTGTGGCAAACTCATCTGGAAAACAGAAGGGAAAGGACAGAGTGAACTGTCGTGACCCTCGGCACTACTGGCAGAGGGGCAGGCACCAGAGATGTTTTTCCCAGGCTCCACAGCAGGCTGCTGACACCATCCCCAGCTTCCCTCCACTGATCCCAGTTGGAGTGGGGGAAGTCACAGCCCCGTGTGGGGGCAGTGGCAGCAAGGCAGAGCCACCCCTCACAAGCAGTTCCAGCAGGTCTCCACCCCAGTGCTCCCAAGGGCTGCTCAGGCACCTTCTCCCAGCACACTGGGGTGGGGACAAACAACTCTGTTGCTGCCAGCCTGGCACAGCAGCCAGGACAGCAGAGACACCAGGAGCAGCAGGTCTGCCTGGGAACACAGGCATGGCTGTGCTCTAGGGCCAGACCTGAACACAGGACCTTCAGCACCCACAGCTCTACCCTGGGCCCCTCTGCACTCAGAGAGATCAAGGTGATGGCCCAGGCCAGCGGCAGCTGTGGGTCCCCACAGCTCCTGTGCCGCTCCACGTGTCCCACTGCCCACCCTTGCTCCCTCTGGCACTACCAGCCCCCACTCACCTGTCTCGTAGTAGTCATAGACCTTCACCTGGGCTGGCTTCAGGTCCTGCACGGGGATGTCCCGCTCCACCGTGAAGGAGAAGCTGAGGGTCTCACTGCTCAGCTGGGGAAGGGAAGTGGTGGAAGGTCAGGGGTGGCTCCACAGTGTCCCAGGCTCCCCGATGCCCATGCTCCCTCCCTCTCCTCTGGCACCCATGCCCTGGCCCTGGGGGAACGTGGGGCTTGTAGGCCTGGCTGAGGGCACGTGGAAACCCTGGGGGA